ATAAAAATTGGATTGAATTATCACAACAGAAGGTAACTAAATTTTCACAGTAAATAAAGGAATACCTATTTCATTAAACTTTAACATAATTGGATCATATTCTCCTGGAGTTTAAATAGCCTGAAACTTCTGAAACATTATAAACTTTAATATGAACAGACTATGTTTTATAAAAAAGTCACTGGAAACCTTATTAGTATTGTTATACAGAAGTTGATAATCTCATTAAAATGTATTCCTAGATCTAAAACCCACCCGTGGGTTACTGGGGAAAGGGGCTGTCTGTAAGAGCCATGGGGAATGAGGGTGAGTAGGAGGGGAATTTCTTCTGCCCTTCCATGAAAATCCTTCTTTTATGAAAATTCAATCATCATTTATCTAAGTTTTGGTTACTTATACTTTGATCATCCAAAGACTGAAGAAATTTTCAGCGATTTGCTTTACGTGTCACATCATATGCAACTAGTTGTTTTTTTGTGTGGAAATACTGTATAATTATTTACACTTGGATTTTTTTAATATGTTTATACATATAACTTGTTTTATTACAGTGACCAAAATAGGTGCATTCTACAAATCATTAAGCAATTTAACATACATCGTTTTGTTAAAAGGGCTCCTTGACAGGTGACTGCACTTGTTACAGTATAACTAAATATGGCTTTTTTTTTTTTTTTTTTTTCTTGGTTTTAACTTAAAGCCATAAGAAAGCATTTCTGTTGAGATGAGGTAACATACAGGACATTAAAATCAATGACCTTTCACTAATTATATTTTAGGTCATTTGGTAATATTTAAGGAAGTAGTTTCTTTTTTTCTCATTAAAGAACAAGGAAAATGGTGAGACAGAGAACAAAACCTTATTCAGCTGTTTATCTTTCTGAACTATGAGTAATGCCAATACAGCCAGTAGGACTGCTCCCAACATACAAATTGCAATGAATTTTTAAACTTTTCCAGGATAGGAAACCAAGCTTACATTATAATCTTTCCAATATTACGTTAGAAAAACTACTTGAAAAGTTCATTTCATTTAGATTATATGCATTATTATCCATTACTGATTGTACTGAAAATTGGTGGTGGTAAGGGAAAATATCCTGATTTCATGCTAGTGTGACATATGTATGTTGAATCTTAAACTGTGCCAGGCTGAGGCAGTATCAAGTGTAACATAAACATATTAATAAAACATTTAGACCTGTGAAATTTACTCTTGGTCACATCAGATAGATTTTTAGGCTGCCAAAACTATAGCACAACTATAAGATTAATTCCGAAAGTTTGTACACTGATTTCTGATACAGAATTATTAGCAAATATTACTCTTACATCATTTTCAACTACTATATATATAAATAAGAATATAATTATGTTAGTTGGTGACATAAGGAAGACCATTTTCAGTATTTTTGCATACATCATTTTGTCATGTGTAATTCCACTGAATTAAATGAGACTATTTGGGGATTAGATATTGCTCAAGACAAGTAAGGAAACAGAATGGGCGTGCAGGTAAAAAAAAAATCATTGGATGTCAAACTACATTCGTTAAACAACAGATCCAGGTCTTACTCAAAACTGTTGGAGATTTGTTGTCGAATTTACCTGTTCTCGTGTGGCCAAGTTACGTTTGCAGTAAAGGACACTGAAATATGAAATATGCAAGTAGACTAATTGTACTGGAAGAATTTTATTGAGGCTCTTCCAGGCTTTGTGTCAGTATTTTCTCCAGTTTTTGAGGATGTGTTTGATATAACAGTGTTTATAAAGTTCTGTAAAAATACATTTTCAAAATAACATAAACATGCTTTTTATGATAATGCTCAATGTAAAAAACCTGTGCATTGTATGTATAAAGGAGAAGAATCGTGTTTTGCTTATTTCTTTAGAAATCTGATTAACTGCTTAAGGGCTAGAGCTTGCCAGCCACATTCAAGCAGAGATAATCCAAAGTCACCAAGTCAAAGGAAAGATGCCCACAGGCTTCAGTGGGGTTTGAAGTGCAATCACAGAGCAAAACTCTTCTTGTGAATCAGTCCAGGAATATCAATGGGACCATGGATAAGGGGATATGTAGTTTGCTCTAATGGAGGCTGGGGGAGTTTAACTCAGTACCACACCAGAGGTTTTACAGTTTCTATAAGGAAAAAACTTTACACTGAAAGTGATCACATGAAAGAGAGTGTGACAGCTTGTAATTAAGAAGAAAAATAATAAATTGATGTTTTGTATATTGGCCCATAAGCAGTACATTCTCTCTAAAAGTGAGATGACATGAGTTATCTGTCTCCAATGGACAAAAATTCTGCCATTAGGAGAGAAAAAATCTACCTTTTTAATTAATGATGGGCTGTGATCATCTTTCATTTTGCACCCAACAAGTCGTCATCAATTTTTTTTCAAGTTTCTATAGCAGCTTAAGGGTTAATATTTCTACCAGTTAAATGGCAGTTTTTGGTGGGGTTCAGGGGTAGGAATGGGAAAGGGAAGCAAGGACATTTTTATTAAATCTAAAAGAAACCTGTAAATATTTTTTTTTTTCATTTAAAGCGATGTTTAGCTTGGGAATTTGAGTAAAGACGACTTGTAACACATCTAAACCAGACAAGGCAGGGGCAAATGTAGACCTGTACTGAGATGGGAAATTCTGCTGTTTTATAAAGTATTCAATCCTCATTGTGAATATCTTGAATTATGTTAAGGATGCTGTACTGTATTAAACATGTAAAAAAAATGATGTTTGTCTAAGTAGCTTACAAAAATAGTAACTCCATGAATGGGAAACTATCCACGTCTGGAGATCTGTCGTAACTAAATACCTGATTCGTTATGGTGTTGTAACTTAATAGAAGCTATTTGAGAGGAAGCATGGTGTATGAGATTTTGTAAGTTATTTGTGCTGGTTCTGTATGTTGTGCCATGTGTGTAAGACAAGAATAAACTGCTGCTTTCATTCATCCCATCCCAAAACAATTATCCAACCAATGTATCTTTACCAGAGATTTCTGCTATTGTTTGTAATATTGGTTTACTATCTCATGCTTCTGTAAAAAAATATTTGATTTGCAAAGTCTTTCTCTTCTCAATGAGGTGGATTGGACTTGTTCTACCAAATGCTATCTGGACAAATCACTTGTTCTTTATTTGTAGCTTTTTACTGCATACTTACATTTGTCTTGAATTCTACTGTACACTCAGGCTAGAACCTGAGACATGGCCCATGATAGAGAATCTGATCTTTACATAGGCTCTATAGGGACTGATATATAGAATGATTTCTAGTGTGTTAGGTGAAAGAAGTAAAATGAAAGTCACAGTACTGTTGGAGTCCTGGTGACATTCCTTTTATTTTTCCAGAAGCAAAATTATCCCTTGGACAGTCACACTGTACCACACTTACTCTCTTTGAAGGAAGGAAGTCATGTTAGGGACCAACTTGTCAGGTGAGTTTGGAAGTCAAGATAGATAAAATATTCCTTCAAATGCTGTACATAAATATAAACTTTGCAGCTGTGGTCTCTAAGGTCATTAGAGTATTTTACCAGCTCAGAACCTCGGGAAGAAGAAATGAAATAAAGCTAGGGAAGGATGAAGGCATATATAACTGGGATACGAATTGCCATTTAATTACTCTTATTGTGAGACTATAACTGATTACCCAAAAGGGATCCCTGATCCTTATCCCTGATTTTTTTCCGCAGAAATCAATGTATAAAAACTTATGACAGGATATACCAGCCAAATGCATGGCACAGAACATCTTCTATGGGTATAAGCTGGTATATTCTCCCCAGCAGATCTGTCCCCAAGAGACAGGTATCAAGTGTGAAAAACTGCACTTCTCTATCTTATGCATTCACTTTTTCTTCCCTGCATTGTACGGTTCTCCTCAAAAAAATGGTGATTCGCTTGAGTCACGTTTCAGACCTTCTTCAGGACAGAGTTCAAGAATGTCTTTAGGTTTCCAACTATAATGCAGCTGAGCCTCAGGGGAAGTCTCATGTCTACTATCCTGATTGCTATTTGTACCTCAAACTGCTGCAATGGACAAGTCCTTTTCAAGACAGCCCTTACAGATGCCCTCCTCTTTGCAGGAGATGTGATTCCTGAGCTGTAACACTACACCCCTTGTATTTATACAGCATCTTGGATAGCAACACACTGCACACGCAGTAATAATACATAACCACAGATGACCATAATCAATAATTCTTTTCCTTAAATGAGATTCAAATGTGTTCCATGTAAACTGCTACTTTATCTGTGCTCTCTGCTTCATGAGGTCTCACACAACTGCTGAACAAATAATGGCACTCTCACAGCTGCTATAACTGACACTGGCACTTTTTTGCTTTGCTCTGCTGATGACTACTGAGCAATTACTTTAATTCAAAAATTTCTACCCAGTTTTCACAGATTTTTCTGTAATACCTTTACCTTCCAACACTAAACAACTGGTGCAACATACCTTTGGGCCTGGAGGCTTTGAGGCAGCTTTGGAGCACTGATTATAATTGCAGAATGGCAAAACTTTCTAATACAGAATAAAGAATCAAGTCAATAAGAATAGAAATAGGGTAAGTTAATTTTTTTACTATGTTGTTGTTATTTCTGTATTATTACATCAGTTTTGCTATTGTGCATCTGAAATACTTTGTGCATGTGTGGTAGGTTGACCCTGAGTGTACACTAGTGTGGCAGATGCTCCCACCCTACTAAAGACCTGAGAAAGACCCAACAAAAACAGTGCTAAAGTTTCTGGTCCTGGTGGCACCAGGACTGCCTCCCCACTCACAGCTCATGTCTGGTCCACACAGTGGGGGTCAAAGGTGGGAAAGTTGGGGTCCTCAGCCATTAGTGCGCTGACATGATCATGTATTGACCACAGATCAGATTTGACCAGGGTGTAAATGAGGCCCTGTCAGAGGATTCATTTGAGTCTG